GGGGGGGGGTGGGGGGGGGGGGGGGGGGGGGGGGGGGGGGGGGAATGCGAGGTGATTTGAAGTACTTGTTGGAAAGGAAAGCGGAATGTGGAAATGAGATCTCGTCCCTGGACGATGGCCTCGATCCTGACTCTTTCGATCCCAGGGTGTCCAACCGTGCCAGAGGGATTTAGGGAAGAACTTCGTTGGGGAATTCTCGTAGATGTGAATTTCACGAAGGACCGAATTTCACGCAGTTCTCAGGGTGTCAGACTATATTGGGGTGAAAGCTCACAAGTCTCCTGAAGGCGGCAAAAACCTGTTCTCACTTGTGCCTGGCTCTGCGAAGAGAAAAAAAATGAAGGGCGAGCACCGTTAAGGGCACTGGACGGACCCTTATGGTCTGTTTCAAGGTCACGCAAGCGAGGTCACAATGAAACTGGGGCGAGAGAGCCGAATTTTGTCGTCCAGCAACCCGGTCGGTTCGGAAAATCAAGCATCATTTCAACGCACGATCCGAACGTGAGACGCCGATAATTAAATCTGAAGAAATTTCCCACGACTTTGTGAAACCATGCCGTCTCATGAATTATTCGCTGATGCTTGAAATCCCAATCTCGACATAAATCCTCCTTTTCCGACACCGTTACACAACTCACACCTTAAACCAGTCCGAAGTCACCTCCATTGTGTGGTCTCATCTCCCGCGGAAACTGACACCGTTCGTATCGTCTCAGAGTCTTCATCATTTGCTCAGGATTGAAAAAAAATCCAGTCACCCGTGAAATCATGCAGCCGCAGGGCATGCAGCCGTGCCCAGAGGGCTTTAGGGAAGAACTTCGCCCGAGATTTCGCCTTCCGTCCTTTCCGTGAGTTCTCTCGATCGGATTCTCGCGAAGGACCGCGAATTGAACCGAATTTCGGTAGGACAGCCGCAACCCAAAGGTCAGGTCATAACAGGTGGGATCTAGATTCCAATTCCACCTGCATCGGTTTCTTATGGGATGAGAGTTCACCGGTTTCTTGAAGCAATAAAGCCGCAGCTCCTCGGCCAGAGAGAGACTGTGAGGCGATAAGGTTCCAAAAGTTATTTACAACTCCCCAAGTATAATTCTGAACTCGAGTTGGGGGTGAGAAATAGAAAAATATGATTTAATTAAATATGAATTGTCGTATCGCCTAAAAAAAAAAAAAACGGTGAAAAAATTCCGCACAACCACATATCCGCTAGGGGCAAAGTTCTCTCATTTTGTTCCCATAAGAAGCCAACAAAAAAAGAGGAAATTCCATGATCCACTTCCCTACGACTCACCTTTTCTTTCCCATCGACGGATTTCTTCCCATTCGGCATTCCTTCCCATTTCTTCCCATTTCTTCCCATTCGCGCGCAGGGAGCCGGAAGCGGGAGAAGTGCCATCCCCCGTATGGATGCTTCTCCACGGGATATCCTTGGACATCCCTGCGGAGGCCAGTCGCTCTGCATCCCGAGCCTCCTTCGGTCATCCGACCGGTCTTCTGCCTTTACACCCGCCGGAATCCAAGAGATTGCTACGTAAGGTCCTTTGTCCTTTGTTTTCCTCTCGAAGAGGGATCAAATCGATCGTGTTGCCGAAAAGGGTGGAAAAAAAAAATCCAGTCACCCGTGAAATCCTCCGTTTTTCATCGTAACATTCGCTTTCATTGCGGCTTCATCATGAAATGCGTTTAATCCAAACTCTCACTTTCTCGGATTTGGTCATGGAAGAATGTCTTTCTCGAAATTCAGTGAAGAGCCACTGGTAGCTTTCTTGAACGGTTGAAACGACTACGTTTTGAAATCCCCCAGGCTGATGATTCGGCATCTTGTGGCTTTTTTACCAATAATGAAGCGTATTTCGATGACATTAGTCGCATCTGTTGCCTGTGCGACAGCCGGACATCTTTCGATGCCGAAAATTTCGTCGCTCGATCAAACGGAGGAGTGTTACAGTTGAATCAACGTTATCTTCGTTCAATGCTGAAGTCCTACGTGGCCACAGTCACGATGAGAGTGTTCAAGAATTGCAGATGCGAGAAGATAGTTTTCGGCAGCATTTTTTGGGCGCGAAAATGTCCCAATGGGTAAACACTCAACATATATAAATAAATCAAGCGTAACATTTTAAAAATGTCTGTATTTGCTAACGAAATCTTCTGCGGCAAGTCACTCCTTCCAAGTCATATCTTCACGAAGATCGCTGCTTCGCTTTCCTTCAGCGTTTGAAGACGAACGAAACGAGGAGGTTGAAACGATCCCCGTTCGATCCCAGGTCTCCAGTCGCGCTGCTCGCTCACGGGTTCCTGGAGCATGGACGGAAGCCGTGGCTGCTGGTCCTTCATCTTTGTGTCATCCTACGTAGAATGCTTCATTTGAGGGTTGTAACAGGAGATGATGAAATGCAGAGAATGACGGAGGAGTTGCTGAAGTCGAGAGACCAGAACGTGGTGGTGTTGAGCTGGCTCGGGGGATCCGGACCGCCTTATACTCAAGCCGTGGCCAACATCCGGCTCGTCGGAGTCATGGCTGCTCATTTCCTCGCCTTCCTCGCAGTAAGAAACTTCCTGCTGTAACAGTTTGCACGAGCGCTAGGACGCTATCCTAAATAGTGGATCAACCGCCAGAAAACGGATGGGAAGGCGCTGCCGAATTGGTCGAATGGTTAGAAATGTGGAAAGCTCCTGTCAAATTTGAGAAATTGATGGATTTTTTTGGCTTTTTGGAAATTGATGGATTTTTGGATTTTCCAAAAATAATTGCGACTTAAAGCTGTGTCGTCAGACAGAAGAATTAGCGGGGGGAAAGTAGTGGGAAGAAGCCATCACAGCGCTGGAACCCGATCTCACGCCAGCGAACGTGCTTTTCCTCAGTCGCTTTGCATCCTCCAATTCTCAAGAGCCTGGGGCAAGTGAGACACATTCCGACCAAATTAGGGATCGCTGAATTCGATCCGTTGGTTGGGCGATCCAAGTGATCCGATGGAGAGCTCGGAGCTCCAGTAGTCAAGGTCCCTTGATGCAATAGGCATTCTCAATTTTTTTTTCCTATGTACTTCTGTAGTTTGACATTTACGATGGGTCTCATTCAAACGAAATGTGGTGGGACTCCTGGAAAACTAGAATGCATGGTTTTGTTGGAAGGAAATTCATGACGGGGACGAGAGGGAGCGCCAAGCGCGTCCTGACACGAGAGGCTGGGGAAGGGGAATGCTGTGGAGGGAGAATGTGCCTGATAATGCGCGTGAATCCTGTCGTCTGGGGGGAAAAGTCCTGCCATTCGGTAACTCGTACACCTAGGAAGGCGATTGAGGTCTCATCGGAATCGCGGACCACTAGATCAGGGAAAGCCGCTTGAGGTGGCATCGAGGAAAAAACGTGGTCGATCCTGGATGATTCTCTGACATGGCATCGGTCAAGTCATCTTCGGTCAGAGCGGAATAGACCAATTTGCATGTAATGGTGTAAAGGTCGACGGTAAAAAAAACAGTTTCTCCCTTGGTTCCTGGGAAACTCGGGTCTGAAGTTGGAAAGAAGTATAAAAAAAAAAAAAGATTTTTATAAGATTTTCAAATACTGCGCGAAAAGTGCAAACGAGATTTGGACGCTACTTCACAGATAGATGCAAAATACACATATTGCAAAAACTCACGCATGGATTTCTCCATTCGTGCCAGAATTGGGAAGGGGGAAGGGAAGGCGCAACGAAACGAGACTTAGGAAAAAAAAAAATTCATTTCCCCAACCCGAACCTGTCAGCACAATCCAGAATTTTATTTGAAAGCGAATGCAAGAAAGAGCATGATACTATTTTCAAAATGTCACAAGGAAAGATAACGTGAACCTCTAAAGCGACCTAAAAAATGGCGACCTATGACCTTCAATTTTAGACTGGAACTATCACAAGGGAATCATAAATTTTGGAGAAAGGGGGGGAGGGGGGGGGGGAGATATCCCAAAGGAAACTTCTTGAATGAACTTATCGATGAAACCTGAGCATAGATCATTAAGACGAATGCGTCCTTTCTGCGTTTTCTTCCACCCGAATTCCGAGGCGAAAATGAAGACTTTCCCCCATTCCAGTCGAAGCTTTCCACAGATGATGCGAGATGGCGCCTATGTAGCCGCTATTTCAGTGTGATCAGGGAGTGACTCATTAATTTAAGACCTCAGTACCTTTCATGCGGTACTTGATCTTTTTGCACAGACAACGTAAGGGACGACACTCGAACTTTTCAGTTCATTTGTTAAAACAGTTTAAGAAGTCCAAGGAGATTCCTGTTAATCGCGGAGGAGGCACGGTTCAAATTGGGGCTCAAATTGAAGGCCTGGAGGTATAACAATAGAAGGAAGTACTACTCCATGGAGTACTTCTTGCCAGACCGAGGAGAGACTCGGTGGGAAGGTCCCCGGTAGAGAACCAAGCAATCACGCCCAAATATAGAATCTCACTCGAAACCTCTTTGAATCGCTTGAATGTCACGCCGTACGTCATCAATTGACGTTGACCCAACGTGGGATAAGCCCGCGAGGGACCTACGTTGGTTCTCAACGTTGGACCCAGATCGGAAATTTGGAATTCCAACGTCGGCCCGACGTGGGTGTGCTACGGGGGTAGCTTCTACAGTTGCACATGGTTTGCAGAAGGCGGATGGGGTCATATCTCCTAGTCACTTAGGATTTTCCAGGATTTCAATTCTTCTAAGCAACTACTCAACAGCATATATCATTTAGGACAAATTTAGGTTATATTTGCCAGCAAGCCATAATGAATTCATTTTAAATAACTCGTGTTCTTTCCGGTGCACCCTGTATAATATATCTGGAAAAAAATTTCTCCCCACAGGAGTAGAATATCTATTTGGCCAAAAATGCTCTATGCACTGCGTATGAACTGTTTCCGTTTTCAAATCACTCCGCCCGCATCCACAAGTGTGAACTGTGTTATTTGTCTTTGATGTGCTCTGTCTATGTTCTGGACATGGTAAATGCAGGACCACATTCGAAACCGGATGTGGTCCTGCATTTCCTTATGTTGAGATACTTACTATCCGTATAAAATAGTAGAGAATTGATTGTGATGTTTGATACGATTAATCTTCGAATATACATTTGCACATATGTACAACAGAACAAAGGGAGTCCACGCAATCATACAGACAATCGTTATGTGTTTTGGGAAGAGGGAGGCGGGAACACGAATTGAGGAGGTGCACGTGGTGGGTCACAGCCTGGGATCTCACCTGGCCTCGTACATCGGATCTACGCTGAAGGACATGGGGTGGGGGAACCTGGGTCGCATCACGGGGCTTGATCCGGCTGAGGTGCATTTTGAATACGCGGATCCCCGCGTGAGACTGGATCCGGAGGATGCTCTCTTCGTGGATGTCGTTCACACTGATGCGTCTCCTCTCGCAATAGGAGGTAAGATGTGGATCCTAATCCTTCGAGTCTCGGCTAAAGGCAATATTGTGGAAAGACGTGGGCTATTCCTCATGACAGGTTTGGGGATCGTCCAACCTTCGGGTCACGTGGATTTCTATCCCAATTCAGGGGCTCGCATGCCTGGTTGTGGTTTCTCTCTTCAAGATTCCATCGAGAGGAAGAATGGTTCCACCGTCTACGGTAGGAAATATGAGACTTGAGCGTTTCATATATATATCATAACTCCATTTTTTCATAGCAGAATACGCTCCTAAAATATAAGGTAGCCACAAATCGGTATTTGCAGCAGTGTGGCTCTAACGACGGGAGGTAGAGACGCAGGGCTCAACAGAGGCAAAGAAAGCAATGGGAACCATGAGGGGGTTAAAAAAAAAAAGGGAAGAAAGAGTCATTTTAGGGTGATTTTTAAATGTGATCTCCATGTGAATCGATGAAGCAGCGATGCGCGAAATGATGTGGGGAAACGACGGCATGCAATAACTCTCAATGAATGGGGCACGCATCGCAGTCGAACGATAATGCTGTAAGCTATAGTTGCAGTGCATTTCTAACTTTTAGGTCTCCTTGAAGATGCGTACTTGAGGCGATGACACTACGACGCTTCTATTATTCTCTGGACCCGATCGGGAATGCCCCCAATGAGTTTTTGTATGCAGACGTTTCGGACGTCAATATGCGCATGGACGCTAAATCAGCAGCATGGAGGGCACAATGAAGTATCAATGACTTGGCGTCCTCTGCAAGTCAAATTATTTTTCATACAGACTTCGTGGACATCTTGTATGTGTCTTTTTCCTGGAATGGAACAGGTTTTTATCTATTTCGAATTTCGTGCAGTGGCAGACATGCCGATGAGGGTGTTGCGATATTTTGGTATTTTCATCATACTGCGGTATTCGGTTCTCGCGATTTCCATACTAATCCCTTCTACATTTTTGGATATTATCACAACGGCGTGAAAACCGTGAAATACCATCCATGTTCATACCGTCACCGCAGTATGGAAACCGTAGGACACCGTCTCTTACCCGCCATGACGCCATATCAAAAGCCATTTCTGTCATTAAAAAATACATAGTAAACCACTGTATCTACCCCATATAAATCCACGGAGACACCCACCGCCTGGGAAAAAAAAAAAACCGAAGCCATGCAGGAAGTCAAAAGATTGTATTTAATCCGGACTCAAGGATCAAGACCCATCATTTCTGGGTTCGATTTGCACCTTGACTGTGCCATCTGCTCGGTGTACCGTTTCTTCACCGTTTCTTGTGATGATGTGACATGGGGCGATATTTCAGAAACAGTCATCATCGTTCAAAATGAAAGTGACAGAGATATTTCTTTCACGCTAGAGCTCTAGCGACGCACACACGATAAGAAAACTCACTCTTTTCCTGAGATTGTTTCCATTAGTTCGTAACTGAAGGAGCCGACTCCACCCTACGCCTCGCCGGTATCACGGAAATACCACTGTATGAAGCCACGGTATATCTACCGGGAAATTAATCTAAGACCGCAATGCCCTGATTCCGTCCCTGCAAATTCTATGCGTTGGTGCTATGAGAATACAGTGTTCTCATTCTGATCTCTGACCTCACTTCCCAAAGGTTTAATGCAGTTCCTAGCTTGCAACCATTTGAGGGCCGTCGAGTACTTTATCGAATCCATCAATTCTCCATGCCTTTTCCTCTCCCATCAGTGCTCCAATTGGGTCGAGTTCACGTGAGTCTCCTGCATCCTGCATTTTTCATTGTCTGTCAATACTATTCGTCAAATGTAAAAGTCAAAATCATGTCAGAGACACTTCAACTTCTTTCCACTGGAACTTCATCGCTTATATACCGTACTTCACTTAGACTAAAATGGTAACATGGGTGCAGACGGGGAGGCTGTGTGAGTTGTGGCCAAAGAGGAGAAAGGTGTGGTCGAATGGGACATCATGCCAGGGAGGCATGGAAACCGGATTTCTATGAAGGGAAGTCTCGGCGACTCTACCTCTTCACCGGCCATCGACATCCTTTCTGTAGTATGACAACTCCATCCATTACTGCTGCCGCTTACGTCTCCATTCCCGAAACGACTGATGGTAGTGTGTTGGATAGGGGTGACCCACGTGGTGACGGTTGCGGTGGCGGATCACAAGATCTCACGCAAGCACGGAGTCGGCAGATTTTACGTCACTCTTCACGGCACTCGAGGCACTTCCTCCAGATCACGGCTCGGAGATGAGTATGAGCATTTTCCTTCATTTTCAAATCTGGATAGGGGTTCATGGCAATTCGTGAGGCTAGAAACACTTCTGAAAATTGCTCTGATAATTTACAGGAAAGCTTCCTAAAGTTTGCTTTCTTTTCCATGCAAAACAGCACTTCAATGATCTTTGGGATGTAACCTTGGGCAGCGGAAATAGTGAACGAATAATGACAATTAATTCAGAAACTGTTGAGGCGACTGGGAACTGATATGTTATTGTACTATTTGCGAAAATTTATGTTTAATCTTGTTTCTGTATGTAGATTCTTTGCGATAAAGAATTTTGAAGATATATTTGACCCTAATTGGTTATCCAAATAACGTTGACTGGTTCTTCCAATAAACTGACGAACTTCTGTTTCCAAAGTCATTTTTTAAACTGAGAGAATTTACTTATTTTTAAGTAGGTCTTGATATCTTCTCATTTGACATGCATGAATCCTCCAGAATGATTCTCCGGCAGGGAATTGTATTTTGAGCCGGGTCAGGGATTTAGTTTCCTGGTTCCATCCTCTGATATTGGGGAAATCGATGAGATCATAGTGGAATGGAAACACGGAGGAATCGTGAGGAACCAAATGGCAAGACAGTTCCTCTTCCATCCGAGAATAATCATCGACCGTGTCGTCGTTCACACCATCGAACAACGCACCACGTGAGTCCCACGAGTCCCCTCTGCGCGTACAGTCCCAGCATAAAGCATCCACTCCCGACGATTGCACAGGGCCGGTTTCTGTGGCCTCGGTCGAGCGCTGGCGTCGGGGGCGAAGTTGAGGATGAGACGCGATGATCATGGACGATGCCAGCAGAAACCCCTGCCTAAGGTCAACCAGTCTCTCAGGGGCTCATTTTTCAACTACCGACTGAAAGGAAATGTTGAGGAATTCCTTAGAAACACTGTATCTAGGCTACTCGTATAAATAATGACTGTAGTCATTGGTTTCGTGTTCCTCTTCAGGCGGGTGCATTCATGGCCAATCAGTTTATTTTAAATCAGTGACCTCTCGTGGCTTTCGGTGATGCATTCCTGAAACTATGCAGATTCATATGGAAAATCCACTCCCTATCATTATGAGCAGCCTATCATCAATATTGATCTCACTATGAAGGCATTATATTGTAGTTCATTGACTCTCTTTTGATTTACCTGCTGTTGTCCAATGGACTTCCATATAAAGAAATATTTTCTATCTCGTCCTTTCCTTTATTTTTATAGGCAAGAGTAACAAATGGAAATCGACTTCATTTGGGTTCATCGCAAGGCGGTGAACATTGCTTGTTATGCCATTTTCCCACATTATTCAGCAGTTCTCTTGTAGTCAATACAGAATGAGCAGTTTGACTACCTAAGTAGCACAAGAAAGTTCAGGAGGACGTTCGACCCCGGCTCAAAGATGTTCTTTCTCGTTCAAGGTTCAGGGATGAACAGCTTTTGGACGTTCAATTAAGGTGCCGTTTCATCACCGATACATGAAGTTATTGACGGACGTTCGTTGAACGTTAAATGATCTCATGCCTTGAACATAAATGTCATTGGCGTGGCAACTGCCCAAGCTGTCCTCGCAGTTGCGGGGGGTGGGGGCAGGCCCAGTGGGATCCCAAATTTCCCATAAAAAATGCGAAACTTTCCCTAATGTAGAGAAATTTAATAAATAATAATAGACTCTACCTCTTCACCGGCGATCAACACCTTTTCTGTGGTATGACATCTCCATCCATTACTGCTGCCGCTTGCGTCTCTATTCCGGAAAACGACTGATGGTAGTGAGTTGGATAGGGGTGACCCACGTGGTGACGGTTGCGGTGGCGGATTACAAGATTTCACGCAAGCACGGAGGCACGGAGTCGGCAGATTTTACGTCACTCTTCACGGCACTCGAGGCTCTTCCTCCAGATCAAGGCTCGGAGATGGGTACGAGCATTTTCCTTCATTTTCAAATCAGGATTGGGGTTCATGGCAATTCGTGAGGCTAGAAACACTTGTGAGAGAACCTGTCATGAGTGAATGATTTTTTTTAAATTTTTTTATTTAGGGGGCGGGGGGACCATAATTAAGTTTTGCGGAGGGCCCACATTTTGTTGCCACGCCACGGATAACTTTGCTATCCATCTGACAGTGGCTAGAAACAGAATAAGATTTACACAATCGATGCTAGATGACGCCAGCGTATTTGCTATAGACACCTCATACAGCTGGAATTATCTCTGATACTTTCCTTGAGGCGCCCGATCTTTTTCCTTCAGAGACACCACAGAGGAAGAAATTTGAATTCTTTAATAAATTAGGCTTACGCTCTTAGAGAGAGGGGAGCGATTTTTCTATTAAAAAAAAGACTAAAATCGCTAACTCCAGTTTCATTTTTCCCTTTCACTCTGGGAAAGGAGCGAATTCGCTCCATCACCAGGGAATGAAAGTGCTCCCCTCAGAAAGAGAGAGGGATGTCAGAAAAGAAGATGAAAGATGTCAGAGGATGGACTACCTCTTACGGTTCCATGACATTTCCACGATACTAATTCTTCATTTCCTCGTTCTCTCATCAAGTTGAGGAAAATGTCGACTTGCCTATACAGATACCCTTCATGTGATTCTAGATCTCCCCTGTGGGTAAAATACTTCGAACTTCAAATGGATTCTCATAAGGAATATCAGCTTCTTCATGGCCTAGGCTCTATGAATATGTCTCGAATATGTGGATACCAATTAAAGAAGTGTCCAATTTTATCGATTCCCCTAATGAGACTAGGCTAGACTCATGACGAGGCACAAAACAATCCTGCGAGGGACGACTGCCGGGAAAGAGGGAAGAGAACTTGTGCGTACTGTGCGAAAAACGAGACCCTTACCTCCATCTAGCGGCCTGGCAAAGAACTTCGATGCGTTCGCTTCCATATTTGACGAGTAACAAGGGAGTACATTTGAAAAGCTCACGGTGTGCTCACTTTT